ACGTATTAGTCCGCCCGCTCTGTAAACCCGATATGCAAAAGCGAGCTCCGTCGACGAGCAAAAAGTTCAACGAGGACGACGCGGTTCGAGAAGAGCAGCCTCGGCGGGGGAAAAGGCTCCTTCGAGGGAAAAGTCACCGAGCTGTGATTAATGGGCCTCGACGCCGCGGCGGTTCGGCCCTCGAGCCACTGGGGGGATTCAATCAAGGGGTTGCCTCGCAATGCGATGGTAGGAACGGGGACACCGGCTTCGGGCTGTTCTAACTGTGGCACGAATGCTTGGTGATTTTTTTTTATTAGGCGATGATAATGAGTGCGGTGAGGGGTGTGTGTGGTACGGGGGGTGTAGTTGTGTGTGGGGAAAGGGGTTGTAGGTGTGTGTGTGTGTGTGTGTGTGTGTGTGTGTGTGTGTGTGTGTGTGTGTGTGTGTGTGTGTGTGTGTGTGTGTGTGTGTGTGTTGTGTGTGTGCGTGCCCACGCGCGTATCTCCGTTTGTGCTTGCGTGTGTTTGCATATACGCTTAGTGTAACTGTCTCACCTGTATCTAATTTTGTGCATGTACACAGACATATACATACGCAAACACATATATATGTATCTCAACGTATCAATAAACAGTGTTTGGGCAGATACCCGTACACCTACGAGCGCCCATGACAGCATGCACATACTTACACCCGCGTGCATGTCTCTAAAGGGGAAGCAGGCATAACACGAGCGACATTCCCTCCCAATTCACACTCAAATAACGGTCTCGCAGAAGGGGAAATCAAGCAGCCTTTTAACGCCTGACTTTCTCTTCCGTTTAAGTGTCCTGGTTGCTAGTAACTCCCTGGATAAAAGGTTTCCATATAAGGGCATTTGAAGCGGCGTGTTAAGCTCTGTCGATTATTATTATTATCTTTATCAATATTATTATTTTTTTCATTATCATCATTATTATTATTACTATATCATATTCGCTCTCCCCTCACTCTCACACTGTCTCCTCCCCCCCCCTCTCTCTCTCTGTCTTTCTCTATCTCTATCTCTATCTCTATCTCTATCTATCTATCTATCTATCTATCTTATCCTATCTATCTATCTATCTATCTATCTATCTATCTATCTATCTATTATCTTCTATCCCTCTTCTATCATCCCTATCTTCCTATCTATCCCTGCCCTCCTCCTCCCCCTTCCTCCTCCTCTCCTTCCCCCTATCCCTCCTCCTCCTCCTCCCCTCTCCCTCCCTCTCCCCTTCCCTCACCCTCCCCCTTCCCTCTCCCCCTCCACTTCCCTCCCCTCCCGTTCCCCCTCCCTCCTCCTCCTCCTCCTCCTCTCCCCCCCTCCCCTTCCTCCTCCTCCCCCTTCCTCCTCCCCTCCCTTCCTTTCCCTTCCCCTCCCTCTCCCTCCCGTCCTCCTCCTCCCCTTCCCCCTCCCTCTCCTTCCCTTCCCCCCTCCTTCCCTCTCCCCTCCCCAACTCAGCATTCAGATTCTTCAAACAGATGGGTTCTGAGTCGGAGGCGCTGTCTTGAGAATGTCCCTAATTGTGCTTTTGAGACGTGTCAAGTGGCATAGAAATAACGCCATTCTTTGCTTGTTAAAATGTGACTGTGTTGATTTCTTTCAAACAGTCGGTATATGGATGAATGAATTTATAAATACATACATGCATACATACATACATACACACAGACATACATAAACATATACATACATACACAGACATGCATAAATATATGCATATATACATATATACATACATAAATTCGTACATACATACATATACACATACATACATCCACAATTAGCGCATGTTGTAATCCATAACCCACATCCAACATATTAACACACTCGGAATCTATAACACATTCTATTCCACAACATACTTCATAACCTACAACACCTCATTAATTCACAACCCATATTTAATAACAAATAACTCGTATTCACACTCCATAATCATTATCTCCGACTGTAATGAAATTGTGCATCTTTTACAACCGAATCGCGGCTGACCCAATCAGCGCCAAACCCCCACAATCAGCCCCAATCGCCGCCAACCCCCACGTGTCCCAATCAGCCCCAATCGCCCCCAACCCCACGTGTCCCAATCAGCCCAATCGCCGCCAACCCCCACGTGTCCCCAATCAGCCCGCCAATCGCGCCGCAACCCCCACGTGTCCCAATGTCGCCCCAAATCAGCCAGCCAATCGCCGCCAACCCCACGTGTCCCAATCAGCCCAACCCCACGTCCCCCAAATCGTGTCCAATCATCAGTCCCAATTCGCCACTCCCAATCACAGCCCCCAATCGCCGCCAACCCCCGTCCCAATCAGCCCCAATCGCCGCAACCCAACGTGTCCCAATCAGACCCCCAAATCGCCGCCAACCCCCACGTGTTCCAATCAGCCCCATCGCCAGTCCCAATCAGCCCATGCGCCACCCAAGTGTCCCAATCAGCCCCCAATCGCCGCCAACCCCCACGTGTCCAATCAGCCCCAATCGCCGCCAACCCCGCACGTGTCCAATCAGCCCCAATCGCCGCCAAAGTGTCCCAATCAGCCCCCATTCGGCCCAACCCCACGTGTCCCAATCAGCCACCCAACCCCCACCCCAATCAGTCGCCAACCCCCCACGTGCGTCCCAATCAGCCCCCAATCGCCGCCAACCCCCACCGTGTCCCAATCAGCCCCAATCGCGCCAACCCCAACGTGTCAGCCCAATCGCCGCCAACCCCACGTGCGTCCCAATCAGCCCCTCATCGCCGCCAACGCCGTGTCCCAATCAGCCCAATCCCCAGCCCCAATCGCCGCCAACCCCACGGTGTTCCCAATCAGCCCCCAATCGCCACCAACCCCACGTGTCCCAATAGCCCCAATCGCCGCCAACCCCCACGTGTCCCAATCGCCCCATCGCCGCCAACGCCCCCAATCGCCGCCAACCCCGTGTCCCAATCAGCCCCAATCGCCGCCAACCGCCCCACGTGTCCCAATCAGTCCCAATCGCCGCCAACCCCACGTGTGTCCCAATCAGCCCCAGCCCCACGTGCCCAATCAGCCCAACCAACCCCCACGTGTCCCAATCAGCCCCCAATCGCCGCCAACCCCCACGTGTCCCAATCAGCCCGCCACCCCAAAATCAGCAAACACCCAACCCGCGTCACGTGTCCCCAATCAAGCCCCAATCGCACCAACCCCACGTGTCCCAATAGCCCCAATCGGTCCCCACGTGTCCCAATCAGCCCCAATCGCCGCCAACCCCCCGTGTGTCCAAAGCCCCCAATCGCCACCAACCCCACGTGTCCCAATCACCCCAATCGCCGGCAACCCCCGCACGTGTCCCAATCAGCCTCGCCACCAACCCCACGTGTCCCAATCAGCCCCCAATCGCCCCAACCCCCACGTGTCCCAATCAGACCCCAATCGCCGCAACCCCCACGTCGCCAATCAGCCCCAATCGCCCCCAACCCCCACGCGTGTCCCAATCAACCCCCAATCCCCCAATCAGCCCTCAACCCCATCCCAATCAGCGCACCAACCCCCACGTGTCCCAATCAGCCCCAATCGCACCAACCCCACGTGTCCCAATCAGCCCCAATCGCCGCCAACCCCCACGTGTCCCAATCAGCCCCCATCGCCGCAACCCCCACGTGTCGCCAAATCAGCCCCCAAATCGCCGCCAACCCCCACGTGTCCATCAGCCCTCAATCGCACCAACCCCACGTGTCCCAATCAGCCCTCAATCGCCACCAACCCCACGTGTCCAATCAGCCCCCAATCGCCACCAACCCCCACGTTCCCAATCAGCCCCAATCGCCGCCAACCCCTACGTGTCCCAGCCCCCATACCGTCCCAATCAGCCCCCAATCGCCCCAACCCCACGTGTCCCAATCAGCCCCCAATCGCCACCAACCCCACGTGTTCCCATCAATCGCCGCCAACCCCACGTGTCCCAATCAGCCCCCATCGCCACCAACCCCCACGTGTCCCAATCAGCCCCCAATCGCCGCCAACCCCCACGTCCCAATCACCCAATCAGCCCCAATCGCCGCCAAATCCCACGTGTCCCAATCAGCCCCAATCGCGCCAACCCCCACGTGTCCCCAATCAGCCCCCATCGCCGCCAACCCCCACGTGTCCCAATCAGCCCCATCGCCGCCCCCCCACGTGTCCAATCAGCCCCAATCGCCGCCAACCCCCACGTGTCCCAATCAGCCCCCAATCGCCACCAACCCCCACGTGTCCCAATGCAGCCCCCAATCGCCCAACCCCACGTGTCCAATCAGCCCCCAATCGCCGCAACCCCCACGTGTCCCAATCACCCCCAATCGCCGCCCCCCAATCAGCCCCAATCGCCGCCAACCCCCACGTGTCCCAATCATTCCCAATCGCCACCAACCCCCAACGTGTCCCAATCAGCCCCAATCGCCACAACCCCACGCGTGTCCCAATCAGCCCCCAATTCGCCGCCAAGCCTTTTCTTCACTACTACATCTTTAACCACGTGTAAGGTGCTGCATGAAACCTCTCACTCAACCCCCGCCACCCTCCCCCCCCACCCCCCCCTCGCCTGACCCCCTAAGCTTTGCATAACGTGATTAAAGTTAGGTCAAGACGAGGCGCTTCCGACTTACTCCGAACCCCCAACACACACACACCCGACTCACCCTAACCCCCCAACCCGCCGACTCCCTAACCCTCCAACCCCCCTAACCCACGACTACCCTTACCCAACCCCCAATCACCCCACCCCTAACCCCCGACCTAACCCCCCCAACTCACCCCCCCCTAACCCCCCGACTCACCCCTAAACCCCCAACCTCCCTAACCCCCGACTCATCCCAACCCCCCACACCCCCACCCACCCCCAAACCCCCCCCCCACCCAACCCCACCCACCCCAACCCCACCTCACCCTAACCCCCCAAACCCCAACCCAACCCCTAACCCCACCTCACCCCAACCTCCCCTAACCCCCTAACCCCAACCCCCACCTCCCCAACCCCCCGACCGACTCACCTGCAGGGCGGACACCAGTGTGCCGAGAAGTACAAGGCGATGACGCGGTCCGTTCCGCTGATGTCGTTGAGGCTGACCGGCCCGCTGTGGCCCAGGACCTGCTCCCCGAGGCTCTTGATCAAGGACGGGTGGGCCATGGGAGGACGAGGTGGTGGAGAGGTGGAGGTGGAGGTGGAGGAGGTTAAGGTGGAGGAGGAGGACGAGGAGGTGGGGGAGGTGGAGGAGGAGGTGGTGGACGACAAGGTGGTGGAGGTGGAGGAGGACGAGATGGTAAAGATGGAGGAGGAGGTGGTGGAGGACAAGGTGGTAGAAGTGGAGGAGGTGGTGGAGGACAAGGTGGTAGAGGTTGAGGTCGAAGTGGAGGAGGTGGGGGTAGAGAAAGAGGAAGAAGAGGAGGGGGTGGTGTTGGTGGTGAAAGAGAAAGAGGAGGAGGAGGAGGAGGAGGAGGAGGAGGAGGATGTGGAGGTGGAGGAGGAGGATGTGGAGGTGGAGGAGGAGGAGGAAGTCCTCTTTTGCTTCCTTAACCTTATCACTCGATCCTCTTCCGCGTTTTCCTTCTCTCTCGTCTTCTTCCTTATATGTCTCTTTTCTCTTTCCTCTTTTCCTTCTCTCTTACACTTGGACTACTAGAATTCCCAGATTTAATTCCAGGGTTTCGATCAAATTTTTCCGAACACAACGAAATGGCTCGAGAATTCAGGTTTCCTCTTTATCAAACAACCATTTCCTTTCACTTCTTTATTTTCTCACTCCTAATTATCCCTCTTTCTTCTCTTGAAACTATCTAACGGATACAGAGATTTGGGTAAATTTAGATAATCGAAAGTGCATCAATTTATGGTTATTCCTCGAGCAAATAATGGAAAAATATAATAAAATCAATAACAATTACAGTAATGAAATGATAAAAACAATAATAATAATAACAATAAAAATAACAATAGTAATGCCTAATAATAACGATAATTATAATGATAATAAAGATGGCAATAATAATAATAATGACGATAATAATAATAATAATAATAATAATAATAATAATAATAATAATAATAATAATAATAATAACAAAATAATAACAACAATAATTAAAATAATGACAAAACTATTACAATAATAAAACAACAATAATAATAATAACCACAACAATAACAATAACAATAATAACAACAATGACACCTAAAAAAAACCAAACCAAAAAACAAAACAAAAACAAAAAAAAAACAGACAAATCAAGACCCCAAAAAAAAAAAATCAACCGGCACATTTTTTTTTTTTTTAAATAAAGGAAGCGAGAGTTTTTGAAACGAAAGATGAAACGAGATTCAAAGGTTATTTCGTACGACGGGAGGCTCAGGACTTCAACGAGAGAAAGGGATGAAAGACGAACGTGGAAATAAGAAGAAAAGAAGATAGATTATGGGAAGAGATTATCTATCTAATATATATTCATATTAATATAAACATATAATAATACATATATATATATATATATATATATATATATATATATATATATATATATATATATATATATATATTTATATATATTATTATATATTAATAAAATATATATCAATATATATATATATAATATATATATATATAATATGCATATAGATATATATTAATATAAAAATAATTATGGGGAAAAATTATTACAGAAAGGTTCTAATGGATGTCCACTCGTTTTTTCGCTCATCGACGCAAATACAGTCAGTCAGTCAGGCGGTCAGTCAGCCAACCACTCAATCAATCAGTCAGAAACTTAAGGCCGTGTCACTACTAGTACTTTTTCCGTCAATTTTTTGACAATTTTATCTAACATAAATACAAACATTCTCGAATATAGCTCTTGATCTGACTATTCTTGGCTGAAAAAGTTGACGGAAAGGTTTTCAGACGGAAACGATCAATGTCGTTTGACTAGAAAATCGACAATTCGCTCAAAAATGGAGAAAATTTCAGAAAATGGTAAAAAAATTGACGGAAAAAGTGCGTGTGACAGCACCTTTAGTCAGTCAGCCAGCCAGCCACTCAATCAGTCAGTCAGTCAGTCAGCAAAATCTCCCTCAAAAAATGGAAAAAAAATACAACCCAAAATTGAACACAATATCCCCGGAAGCCTCTTTCCCCAATCACGAAAACAGAACCAAATCTCTCAACATGAATGAAAATACAACAAAAAATCAATCTCCATACAAGAAAACCAAATACACGAACACAATCAAACCAACAAAAATTTCCCCATTCACAAAACATTCATAAAAACACCATTTTTTTCTCTTCTCTCTCTCTTCAGAATCCCAAAGCTACAGCAATTTCATGAATCCTAATGCAAAAGCTACATGAAAGACTCTTATGCAGGGCGAGCCAGCCACGGCCTCTGAACTTATTCATTCTCAAAGGTAAATCGCCCTTTTTTATTCAACTCGATCGCTCTCCCTCTTTCTCTCTCTGTCTGTCTGTCTGTCTGTTTGTCCGTCTCTCTTTATCGCTTGTTCTTGTTTCTCTTTCTCTTTCTTTCTCTCTCTCTCTCTCTTTGCTCTTCTCTCTCTCTCTCTCTCTCCTCTCTCTCTCTCTCTCTCTCTCTCTCTCGCTCTCGCTCTCGCTCTCGCTCTCGCTCTCCTCTCTTCGCTCTCTCTAGCTCTCTCTCTAGCTCTAGCTCTAGCTCTAGCTCTCTAGCTCTGCTCTCTCTCTCTCGCTCTCTCTTTCGCTCTCTTTCGCTTCCCCTCCTCTCTTTCGCTCTTTCGCTTCCCCCTCTCCCTCCCTCCCTCTCTCTTTTTCGCTCTCTTTCTCTCTCTCCCTCTTTCGCTTTCCTTCGCTTTCCCTCTCTCTCTACTCCCTCCCTCCCTCTCCCTCCACTCTCACTCTCACTCTCTCACTCTCTCACTCTCTCACTCTCTCACTCTCTTTCTCTCTCGCTCTCGCTCATCCTCATGCGATCTCGCCTTTGCTTTTAATCTCTCGTGCTGCATATATTACATACCAGCAAACATGCATACTTCAGTGCTTACTTATATGCATACGCATATATACAACACACACATACACGCTTCTGTGTGTGTGTGTGTGTGTGTGTGTGTGTGTGTGTGTGTGTGTGTGTGTGTGTGTGTGTGTGTGTGTGTGTGTGTGTGTGTGTGTGTGTGTGTGTGTATTCGTGAGTATGAATGTCACATACGCATCCTTCTTCACACACATTAATGCTCATATATATCTCTACACACAAACACCCTTACACAAGCCTCTTTCCACACACACACACACAAACAAACACAAACACAACACACACACACAACACCACACACACACACACACACACACACACACACACACACACACACACACACACACACACACACACACACACACACACACACACACACACACACACACACACACACACACACACACACACCTGCCAGGAGCGCCTGCATGCACACAAGTCAATAACCCGACGCCAACGTGTGACTGGAATAACGGCCTCGCTTTATTTCCGTGATCGATGTCCTCCACAGAACTTTTCGTAAAGGTGAGTTGTGCGACGAAGACACAGACGGCCACAGACACAGACGCCCGGGGGGGGGGGGGGGGCACGGGGGAAGTGGGGCCGCCTCCAGGTGGTGGTCGTCAGGATAATGAATTTCGACGCGGTAAGTAGAAGGATGTTAGAGGGGGGGGGGGGAGGGGGGAGGAGATGGGTGGAAATACATGAATGTATGCATGCACACTAGTCTGTATGCATATGTGTGAATGTATGTATGCATGTATGTATGTATGTATGTATGTATGTGTGTATATATATATATATATATATATGCATATATAAGCATATATATACATATGTATGCATATATATATACATATATGTATACATATATATGCATATACATATACATATACACACATATACATACATATGTATATATATATGCATATATATACATATATATTTCATATTCGTACTCATTTTTATATTCATATACATATTATACATGAATATGTATATGAAAATGTGTGTGTGTATGTGTATATGTATGTACTGTATATGTATGATATTATATATATATATATATATGTATGTATGTGTATGTATGTATGTATATGCATATGTATGTATATATATATATATATATATATATATATATATATATATATATATATGTATATATACATATATATATATATATATTTGTGTGTGTGTGTGTGTGTGTGTGTGTGTGTGTGTGTGTGTGTGTGTGTGTGTGTGTGTGTGTGTGTGTGTGTGTGTGTGTGTGTGTGTGTACATATATACATATAAATCTATATATGTGTATATATTATATATATATATATATATATATATATATATGTATGTATGTATGTATGTATGTATGTATGCATGTATGTATGTATGTTGTATGTATATATATATATATATATATATATATATTATATATATATGTATATATATAAATTTATTATATATATATATATATATATATATATATATATATATATATATATATATATATATATATATATATATATATATATATATATATATATATATATATATATATATATATATATATATATATATATATATATATATATATATATATATATATATATATATATACTATACATATATATGTATGTGTGTGTGTGTGTGTGTGTGTGTGTGTGTGTGTGTGTGTGTGTGTGTGTGTGTGTGTGTGTGTGTGTGTGTGTGTGTGTGTGTGTGTGTGTGTGTGTGTACACACACACGAATATGTATGCATGTATGAATGAATAAATGAATGAATGAATTAATTAATTAATGTATGTATGTATGTATGTATGTATGTATGCATGAATTAATGAATGAGTGAATATACTGTATATGTGTGCATGTATATATGCATACTTGTATACATAATTGTCAATGCAAATATTCAGAATTTCTAAATGTGCACATAGACCTACAAATAGCTCTTTATACCGGTGAAGTAAGAAGTGGAGAAGGAAATACAGAAACTTTTCAGTGGGAAGAAACAAACATTTATAAAAATGATAACCACGATTAAAAGCCTCTACTAAATACCAATATTAACAACACGACACAACCTAGGTATCGCCCATTTCTTTTCACAAGTGGAATATTAAGAAAATGCCAATGTGATTCTCATCTTTGAAATTATCATAAAAAATGGGAAAAAAAACATCATT